AAGAAAACAACTGTAGCCTTCATAAAATATTCCTTTCTAAATATTTTTGTATATTTTTAATAAGACACCTTTCAATTTCTACTGGACCACCTCAATTTCTAAAATACTCCAAAGTCCCTTGCTTGTACACCATTCCTTTTTGCTGACTTTGACTATACCCTCTCACAATCTCAAGCTTTTTTGTGGATAATCCCTTTTTTTTCAGGCATGAGATTTATGGAACATCTACTATTCCTCTTCCAGCGGCATCTGCATCAGAACAGATCTTAACTCTTTAATATACTACATGCTCACTAAGTTACAGGCTTAAATAGTACGGTTGAGAATTCCAGGTAATTGTCTGGGCTATAGGATTGCCATTATGCAGTTTTCTATGTTTTAGTAAATGCCTTTGTATGTGCTCAGGACAACCACAAAGTAAAAATATACAAAATGTTAATGGGGAAGGAAATTAAAATAACTAATAATTATTACCACTTAAAAAAAACACAAAAAAGGCCTGTTTAAGAGATCTGAATATGTAATTTTATCAGCACCATAACAACAATTATCTTGTTTTTTTAATCTTTTATTTGGGCGGCTCAATTATGTCATGTTTGGAAGACGTTTGGTAATAAGAGTGCAACTAATCACTGGCCTTCTGTGTATCAGAGTGGCTTGTATACGTATTCCATTGACCACCTTATTTATTCTTTGGGTTTATTTACTGTATATTCTAAGACATAAAACTGCTATTCAAAACAACAAAAAAATAATATATTGCAGCTTACCTAGTCCTTACATTTGTTGGGCTGCATTTGTTTTTTTTCTTTTCTTTTATTCTGTTCGTGTCCTCCTGCCAGGTAAAACACATTCTGTTCAGGGTTGTGGCAGCTGCTCACTAACTTTCATTTATATATAAGTAAGTTATTAACCGCTTGGCCGCCCATGCCACTGTTGTATATATGTGTGCAGGGAGGCAGTGGAGCGCAAAACACGTTTATTAAAAAACAGGGTTCCGCGCTCCCGACACTTCGCCGGCAGGGGGCGGCGCGCGCTCCCGCCGAACGCTGCGGGTGATCCCGATTCGATCCAGAAGGGCAATCAATCATTAGATTTCAGCCAGTGAAGTGATTTTCTGGCTGAAAATCACATGATCGTGGTCCCTGTCCTATCCTTTCCTTGTGTTGACAAATTGACAAATACACAGGGATATAGGATATGATGTCTTTCTTCTCTGCCTGGACACATTTCCGTTCCAGACAGAGAAGAAGACATCATAAAAAAATTGTGTACACAAGCATACACTACAGTTAGAAACACTCTAGGACACATTTAACCCCCTGATGCCCCCCCCCCCCAGTTAACCCTTCACGGCCTGTCACAGTGTCACTGATCAGTGAAAGCGATTTTTACTGATCAGTGTCGCTGGGGCGACTTCTGATGCTAGAGTTAGCGCACCCTCCCAGATAGCGCCAGATTGCCCGCCAGTTACACAGTGAATCCGTTTTTTTTTAACCCCTTGATCGCCCCCCCCCTCCAGTTAACCCCTTCACTGCCATGTCACCAGTGTCACTGATCAGTGAACCAATTTTTACTGATCACTGTACAGTGGTCGCTGGCGGACTTCCGATAGAGTTAGCGCCCTTCCAGATAGCGCCGTTTTTTGCCCACCAGTTACACCAGTAATCCCGTTTAACCCCTTGATTGCCCCTTCCCCCCCCAGTTAACCCCTGCACTGCCCTGTGCACCAGTGTCACAGATCAGTGAACCAATTTTCACTGTATCACTGTAATCAGTGTCGCTGGCGACCTTCCAATAGAGTTAGCGCCCCTCCAGATAGCGCCAGTTTGCCCGCCAGTACACCAGTAATTCCGTTTTAACCCCTTGATCGCCCCCCCCAGTTAACCCCCTTCACTGCCCCTGTCCACCAGTTGTCACTGATCAGTGAACCAATTTTTTACTGATCACTGATAGTGTCGGCTGGCGGTCTGTCACCAGTGTCACTGATCAGTGAAACCAATTTTTACTGTTCTCTGTATCAGTTTCGCTGGCGACTTCCGATTATGTGTTAGCGCCCCTCCCAGATAGCGCCCAGACTGCCCGCCAGTACACAAAAAAAAAAAGTAAATCCCCAGTAATCCCGTTTAATCCCTTGATCGCCCCCCCCCCAGTTAACCCCTTCACTGCCCTGTCCCAGTGTCACTGATCAGTCTGAACCAATTTTTTTATTGATCACTGTATCAGTGTTGCTGGCGACTTCCGATAGAGTTAGCGCCCCTCCCAGATATGCGCCAGTTTGCCCGCAGCAGAACACCAGTAATCCCGTTTAACCCCTTGATCGCCCCACCCCCAGTTTAACCCCTTCACTGCCCTGTCACCAGTGTCACTGATCAGTGAACCAATTTTTTACTGATCACTGCATCAGTTGTCCGCTGGCGACTTCCGATAGTGTTAGCGCCCCTCCCAGATAGCGCCATTTTGCCCGCTAGTACACCAGTAAATCCCCATTTAACCCATTAATCTCCCCCCCTGTTAAACCCATTTAACTGCAATCGCCTGTCACCAGCCCCCCCCAGTTAAACATTCATGCCCTAGTCAACAGTGTCACTGATCAGTGAAGCCGAATTTTACCTGATCACTGTATCAGTGTCGCTGACGACTTCCGATAGTGTTAGCGCCCCCCTCCCAGATAGCGTCAGAATTTGCCCCCCAGTACACCAGTAATCCCGTTTAAACCCCTTGATCGACTCCCCCCCCTTAATCCCTTCACTGCCCTGTCACCAGTGTCACTGATCAGTGAACCAAATTTTTACTGATCACTGTATCAGATGTCGCTGGCGACTTTCCGATAGTGTTAGCGGCCCCTCCCAGATAGTGCCAGATTTGCCCGCTAGTACACCAGTAATCCCATTTAACCCCTTAAATCTCCCCCCCAAGTTAACCCCTTCACTTGCCCTGTCACCAGTGTCACTGATCAGTGAACCGATTTTTACTGATCACTGTATCAGTGTCGCTGGCGACTTCCGATAGTGTTAGCGCCCCTACCCAGATAGCGCCAGATTGCCCGCTTGTATACAACCAGTAATCCCATTTAACCCCCTTGAATCTCCCCCCCAGTTAAAAACCCATTTCACTGCCCATGTCACCAGTTGTCACTGATCAGTGAACCGATTTTTTACTGATCACTGTATCAGTGTCGCCGGCTGGCGACTTCCGATAGTGGTTTAGCGCCCCTCCCCAGATAGCGCCAGATTGCCCGCTAAATACACCAATTTATCCTGGTCTACCCCTTGATCGCCCCCCCCCGAGTTGACCCCTTCACTGCCCTGTCACCAGTGTCATTGGATCAGTGAACAGATTTTTTACTGATCACTGTTTATCAGTGTCGCTGGCGACTTC